TGTCCTGTCCCACCATTGACCCAAGGACCAAGTCCTGGTTCTTGACGGGTTCCTTGTCCTGTCCCACCATTGACGCAAGGACCAAGTCCTCGTCCATCACAGATTCTGTGTCCTGTCCCACCATGCACCAAAGGACCAAGTCCTGGTTCTTCACGGGTTCCTTGTCCTGTCCCACCATGCACCCAAGGACCAGGTCCTGGTCCATCACAGGTTCCGTGTCCTGTTCTACCATGCACCCAAGGACCAGGTTCTCGTTCTTCACGGGTTCCTTGTCCTGTCCTACCATGCACCCAAGGACCAGGTTCTGGTTCTTGACGGGTTCCTTGTCCTGTCCCACCATTGACGCAAGGACCAAGTCCTCGTCCATCACAGATTCTGTGTCCTGTCCCACCATGCACCGAAGGACCAAGTCCTGGTTCTTCACAGGTTCCTTGTCCTGTCCCACCATTGACGCAAGGACCAGGTTCTGGTTCTTCTCAGGTTCTGTGTCCTGTCCCACCATTGACCCAAGGACCAGGTTCTGGTTCTTCACAGGTTCCGTGTCCTGTCCCACCATGCACCCAAGGACCAGGTTCTGGTTCTTCACGGGTTCTGTGTCCTGTCCCACCATTGACCCAAGGACCAGGTTCTGGTTCTTCACAGGTTCTGTGTCCTGTCCCACCATTGACCCAAGGACCAAGTCCTCGTCCATCACAAGGTTCCGTGTTCTGGTGCATCTGAGGGTCAATGTCCCATCACAGGTGCCACCATCCCATGTCCTGGTCCATCTGAGGGTCCATGTCCTGTCCCACCATTGACCCAAGGACCAAGTCCTGGCCCATCACAAGGTTCCATGTCCCGTCCCATCTGAGGGTCCATGTCCCGTCCCAGGTGCCACCATCCCATGTCTTGGTCCATCTGAGGATCTGGGTCCTGTCCCACCATTGACCCAAGGACCAAGTCCTGGCCCATCACAAGGTTCCGTGTCCTGTCCCACCATGCACCCAAGGACCAAGTCCTGGTTCATCACAGGTTCTGTGTCCTGTCCCACCATGCACCCAAGGACCAAGTCCTGGTTCATCACAGGTTCCGTGATCTGGTGGATCCCATCCCACCTGAGGGTCCATGTCCCATCCCAACATGCACCCAAGGACATGTTCTGGTCTATCCCAAGTTCCCCATGTCCTGGCCCACCATCGACCCTAGGACCACATCCTGGTCTATCACAAGGTTACCTGAGTTCTGGTGCATCTGAGGATCCATGTCCCATCCCACCATGGACCCAAGGACCAAGTCCTGGCCCATCACAAGGTTCTGTGTCCTGGTCTGTCTGAGGGTCCATGTCCCGTCCCATCATTAACCCAAGGACCAAGTCCTGGCCCATCACAAGGTTCCGTGTCCTGGTCTGTCTGAGGGTCCATGTCCTATCCCACCATCAAGCCAAGGACCAAGTCCTGGTTCATCACAGGTTCCGTGTTCTGGTGCATCTGAGGGTCCATGTCCTGTCGCACCTGAGGGTCCATGTCCAGTCCCACCATGCACCCAAGGACATATTCTGGTCCATCACAAGGTTCCATCTCCTGGTCCATCTGAGGGTCCATGTCCCATCCCACCATGCACCCAAGGACCAAGTCCTGGTTCATCACAGGTTCCGTGTTCTGGTGCATCTGAGGGTCCATGTCCCATCACAGGTGCCACCATCCCATGTCCCATCCCATCTGAGGGTCCATGTCCTGTCCCACCATTGACCCATGGACCAAGTCCTGGTCCATCCCAGGTTCCGTGTCCTGTCCTACCATGCACCCAAGGACCAAGTTCTGGTCCATCGTCCATCACGGGTTCCGTGTTCTGGTCTGTCTGAGGGTCCATGTCCTGTCCCACCATTGACCCTAGAACAACATCCTGGCCCATCACAGGTTCCATGTCCTGGTCTGTCTGAGGGTCCATGTCCCGTCCCACCTGAGGGTCCATGTCCCGTTCCACCATCAACCCAAGGACCAAGTCCTGGTCCATCACAAATTCCGTGTTCTGGTGCATCTGAGGGTCCATGTCCCGTCCCACTATGCACCCAAGGACCAAGTCCTGGTCCATCACAAGTTCCGTGTTCTGGTCTGTCTGAGGGTCCATGTCCTGTCCCACCTGAGGGTCCATGTCCTGTCCCACCATCAACCCAAGGACCAAGTCCTGGTCCATCACAGGTTCCATGTTCTGGTGCATCTGAGGGTCCATGTCCCGTCCCAGGTGCCATCATTCCATGTCTTGGTCCATCTGAGGATCTGGGTCCTGTCCCACCATTGACCCAAGGACCAAGTCCTGGTCCATCACAGGTTCCATGTTCTGGTGCATCTGAGGGTCCATGTCCCGTCCCAGGTGCCATCATTCTATGTCTTGGTCCATCTGAGGATCTGGGTCCTGTCCCACCATTGACCCAAGGACCAAGTCCTGGCCCATCACAAGGTTCCGTGTTCTGGTGCATCTGAGGATCCATGTCCCATCCCACCATGGACCCAAGGACATGTTCTGGTCCATCCCAAGGTCCCATGTCCCATCCCATCTGAGGGTCCATGTCCCATCACAGGTGCCACCATCCCATGTCCTGGCCCATCTTAGGGTCCATGTCCCGTCCCACTATGCACCCAAGGATATGTCCTGGCCCATCACAAGGTTCCGTGTCCTGGTCTGTCTGAGGGTCCATGTCCCATCCCACCATCAACCGAAGGACCAAGTCCTGGTCCATCACAGGTTCCGTGTTCTGGCCCATCTGAGGGTCCATGTCCCATCCCAGGTGCCACCATCCCATGTCTTGGTCCATCTGAGGGTCCATGTCCTGTCCCACCATGCACTCAAGGACCAAGTCCTGGTCCATCCCAAGGTCCCATGTCCTGGTCTGTCTGAGGATCTGGGTCCTGTCCCACCATGGAGCCAAGAACCATATTCTGGTCCATCCCAAGGTCCCATGTCCTGGTCCATTTGAGGGTCCATGTCCTGTCCCACCATGGACCCAAGGACCACATCCTGGTCTATCACAAGGTCCCATGACCTGGTCCATCTGAGAGTCCATGTCTTATCCCACCATGGACCAAGGACCATGTCCTGTCCTGCCATGGACCCAAGGACCAAATCCTGTCCCGCCATGGACCCAAGGACCAAATCCTGTCCTGCCATGGACCCAAGGACATATCCTGGCCCATCAGGAGGACCCCACACCCTTCCCCATGCCAATGTCCCCTCCTGGCCACCAAGGACCCCTGTCCATGCCCACCGTTGTCCTCCCCCCGCCCCAGGGACGTGTCGTCGGTGGAGCTGCTGATGAACGACCACCAAAGCCTCAAGACTGAGATGGAGGCCCAGGCCAAGAACGTGGACACCTGCCTGGAGCTGGGCAAGACCCTCATCCTCAGCAAGAGCCCGGCGGCCGATGAGGTGCCGGTGGGGGTGGACAACGTGGGGAGGGGGCGTGGTGGAACTTTTGGGGTGTCCCAACCCATGTCCCCCCTCCCCACAGATCAAATCCAACATGGAGAAGCTCCTGGAGAAGAAGAAGGAGATGACGGAGAAGTGGGACAAGCACTGGGAGTGGCTGCAGCAGAGTGAGTGCCACCCTGGGGGGACACCATCGGGTGTTGGGGGGACATCAGATGTTGGGGCGACCTTGGGTGTTGGGGGACACCAGAAGGTTTTTGGGGGGAGGTTGAGTGTTGGAGGGACACCAGGACTTGGGGTGGGCATTGGGTCCTGGAGGTCACTGGTTTATCGGGGGTGGTCATCAGATGTTGGGTGGACATTGGGTGTTGGGGGGACACCAGGACTTGGGGTGTGCATTGGGTTATGGGAGTCAATTCATGGGAGCCACCAGGTTATGGGAGCCACCGAGTTATGGAGAACACCAAATTATGAGGAACACCAAATTATGGGAGACACCAAATTACGGGGAACACCAAATTATGAGGAACACCAGATTATGAGGAGCACCAAATTATGAGGCACACGAAATTATGGCAAACACCAAATTATGGGGAACACCAAATTACGGGGAACACCAAATTTTGAGGAACACAAAATCATGAGGAACACCAAAATTTGAGGAACACCAAATTACGAGGAACACAAAATCATGAGGAACACAAAAATTTGAGGACCACCAGATTATGAGGAACACCAAATTACAAGGAACACCAAATCATGAGGAACACCACATTATGGGAGACACCAGACGATGGGTGACACAAAATTACAAAGGCCACCAGATCACGGGTGAGCCCGGTCTCTGCGGTGACCCCGGCCACCGCGAGGAGCCCGCGGCGGTGACGGGCGGCCCCGGCTGTGCCGGCAGAGCGCGAGGTGCAGCAGTTCGCGCAGGAGGCCGTGGTGGCCGACGCGTGGCTGACGGCCCAGGAGCCGCTGCTGACGAGCCAGGAGCTGGGCAGCAGCGTGGACGAGGTGGAGCAGCTGATCCGGCGGCACGAGGCCTTCCGCAAGGCGGCGGCCGCCTGGGAGGAGAGGTTCAGCTCCCTGCGGCGCCTGACCACGGTACGGCCACCGCGGCGCCGGGGACATCCCGGGGCCGGGCTCTGCTCGGGGTGGGGGTGGCTGAGGGCTCAGCAGAACCATCTCCTGATCTGACCGTGGTCTTCATCCCGTTGCCATCGCTGTTGCTGTTTCCATTGATGGCTTCGTTTTCTCCATCGCCGTCTCCGTCTGCCTCCATCCCATCTCCATCCCCATCACACCTCTGTCTCCATCTCACCTCCATCTCATCTCCATCCCCATCCCTGTCCCATCCCCAACTCCATCCCTGTCCCCATCTCATCTCCATCATCTCCATCTCCATCCCATTTCCATCTCATCTCCATCCCCGTCTCCATCTCCATCCTCATCTCCATCGTCATCTCCATCTCCATCTCTTTTCCACCACATCTCCATCCCCGTGTCCATCTCTATCCTCATCTCCATCTCATTTCCATCTCTATTTCCATCTCCATCTCATTTCCATCTCATCTCCATCCCAATCTCCATCTCTATCACCATCTTCATCTCCTCCATCTCCATCTCCTCCATCTCCATCCCATCTCCATCTCCATTTCCATCTCATCTCCATCTCCATTTCCATCTCATCTCCATCCCCATCTCCATCTCTATCCCCATCTTCATCTCCTCCATCTCCTTCTCATCTCCATCCCCATCTCCATCTTCATCCTCATCTCCATCTCCATCTCCATCTCATTTCCATGTCATTTCCATCTCATCTCCATTCCAACCTCCATCTCTATCCCCATCTTCATCTCTTCCATCTCCATCTCCATCTCCATCTCCATCCCAATCTCCATCTCCATCTCCATCCCAATTTCCATCTCCATCTCCATCCCCACCTCCATCTCCCCTCCATCTCACCTCACCTCCATCATCCCCACCCCACCCCACGCTCAGATCGAGAAGCTCAAGGCCGAGCAGAGCAAGCAGCCGCCGACGCCGCTCCTGACGCGCAAGTTCCCGCCGGAGCCGCCGCCGGCGGGCGCCGCCGCTCGCCGGCCGGAGCCGCGCGTCGCCTACGTTCGGCACGAGCTGCGCCCGGAGCGCCTCCAGCCCCAGCTCGACCGCGTCCGGCCGCCGGCCACCGCCGCAGGAGGAGCCGAGGAGCCGCCGCCGGCCACCGGTGTCACCGCCGAGGCCACCGAGGCCGAGGAGCCCGGCGAGGTCCGGCCGGGGCCGCCGGAGCGGCGCCGGGAGCGCCGGGAGCGCCGGCTGGAGCGGCAGGAGTCCAGCGAGCCGGAGGCGCCGCGGCACGACGGGAAGAGCGGCGGGTGAGCCAAGGGACGCCGCGGGGACGCCGCGGGGACGCCGCGGGGACGCCGCGGGGACGGCGGGGAGGGGACGGGGCCGGCGTGACGCCACCGCGGTCCCCGAATGTCCTTCAGCAGCAAAGCCACCCTGGCCGACATCGTGGAGCAGCTGCAGGAGAAGGAGGCGGGCGGCGCCGTGCCAGCTTCGGTGAGTCCTTGGTGGCCTTTTGGTGACCTTTTGGTGGCCCCTTGGTGACACTTTGGTGGCCCCAAGGATTCCTCTTTGTGTGCCTTTGGATTCCCTTTGGTGTCCCCTCGATGTTCCCCCGGAGATCCTTCAGTGTCCCACGGGAGATCCATCAGTGTCCCCTCATTGTCCCCTCAGTGTCTTCTCATTGTCCCCTCAATGTCCTTCAATGTCCCTCCATGTCCTCCATCCTGGAGATCCCCCAGTGTCCCCTCAATGTCCCCTCCATGTCCCCCTGGATATCCCATCAATGTCCCCTCAGAGATTCCCCAGAGCCCCCCAGGATGTCCCCTCAATGTCCCCCTGGAGATGCCCTCAGTGTCCCCTCCATGTCCCACTAGAGATCCC